CACACACACACACACACACACACACACACACACACACACACACACACACACACACACGCGCGCGCCCGCAATGGACGGTGAGAGGAGGGCGCATAGAAAGGGAGACAGAGAGGTCTCACAGGCAGAGCACTGAAAAAGTGGACCATGAAGCATACCAGCATATCCACATGATCCTCTGTTCCCCGGTAGTGACAGGAAATTTGAAAAGACAAAGGGAAAAAAAAAAAAAAAGAATGGAAGCAATGTCGTTTATAATTTTTTTTCCAGATTTTATACGTTTCGAGAAATCTTTTGCGGTGGCTGATAGATGCCAGTGTAGGGCTGCTGCAGTCGAGATCGTTCTCTTCTCATACCCCCTTGAGGAGGAGGTGGCTGTTGTTGCTGCTGCTGCAGATGATGTGGTGGATGATTTGGGTGCTGCTGTGGAAGTCCATATGCTGCATGCTGATGAATTTGATGAGGGTGCTGCGAAGGATGTGCCATTGGCCCTCCTCCCACTCCACCTCCTCCCCCTGCGATTGCCACCGCAGCAGCAGCTCCATGTGTATGCACATGCACATGCGCATGCGCATGAGGATGAGGTGGATGTATTCCTGCTCCTCCTCCTCCTGCAGCTGCATGGTGGTGATGTCCTGCTGCTACTTGTGGGTGATTCACCACCCCTGGGTCTATTGACATATCGACCGGCCTTTGCGGATAAAGTATCGCTTTGTCTCCCGGCGGAACTAGCGAGTTTCGACCTGGAAGAGGCTCTTGTCGGAAGTAGTCGTGCTCCAGCGCCTGTGCTGCGGTCAACCTCTTCGCCGGATCGTAATCTAGCATCCGCGAAAGCAAATCGAAGGCCGCCGTCCGCGGAGGTAGTCTGCAGACTTCGTGCAATATCGTTTCGTGATGGTACCTCTTCTGCATCATCGCTCCATTTCGTATTATCTGCCAATGCGGTAGCCTTTCCAAATTGGGCCATAGGTCCACCGTCGGCATCCCCAGCACCCTAAAAATCTTATCTAATTGGTCTGCCTGCAAAGGATTGGATATGTTCTTGTCCTCTTGCCCTTGAAATAAAGGTTTAAGCGTCAGCAGCTCCGCGAAGATGCACCCGACTGCCCACATATCAACGGCTGTGGTGTAGTGTTTCGAACCTAGCAGCAGTTCCGGAGCTCGGTACCAGATTGTCACCACCACTCCGTTCTCCGATAAGTTCTTTAACGGCGCCTGGAAAATCCTTGCCAACCCGAAATCCCCTATCTTTACAACCCCCTCTTCATCCCCCTGACCCATAACCAGAATATTTGAAGGCTTTAGATCTCTGTGAATGATCCAGTTGCTGTGAAGATAGTTCAATCCATTCAGGATCTGCCAAAGCAACGACTTCACCGTGTACAGACTGATAGGGTGGCTGTTCAGCTTCTCGCGATGATGCCGAATGATCTCATACAAATCGTGCTCCGCGTAATCGAACGCTAAATACAAGGACGAATCGAAATGATTGATGTGTACGTTGACCAGCTTGACGACGTTCTCATGCTGGCATTCCCGAAGAAGCATGATTTCTCTAATTGCCGTCGGCGAGACGCCATCTCCTTCTTTGGACTGTTTGAATTTCTTCAAGGCTGTCTGTCCACCCTTCGATTTATCCTTGTTCCTCGCAAGATAAACCAGCCCGTAGGTTCCTTCGCCAATTTTGCCCACGAGTTCGTAGTCCTCAAGCCAGTCTGGTCGTTGCGATTTTGGACGCTGAAGGATCTCCATGATACCTACCTACCTACCTACCTATCTTGTCTATTTAAACCGATGCAATCTCTCTACCTATTCAATCAATTTACGTCTGCCGCACTCATATTTTCAAAAACAAACAAACATCCCAACCGGTTCATAGTAATCGAGCCAGTCTGGTCTTTGCGATTTCGGACGCTGAAGGATCCCCATGATACCTACCTACCTATCCACTCCCTTTTTTTTTTCTTTTCCCTATCCAATCTCTCTACCTATTCAATCAATTTACGTCTGCCTCACTCATATTTTCAAAAACAAACAAACATCCCAACCAGTTCATACTACTTATTAATCAAGCCAGTCTGGTCTTTGCGATTTCAGACGCTGAAGGATCTCCATGATACCTACCTATCCAATCCCTTCTTTTTTTTTTTTTTTTTTCCCTATCAAATCTCTCTACCTATTCTATCACTTCACTTCTGCCTCACTCATATTGTCAAAAACAAACAAACAAACAAAACAACAACAACAGAAAAGCAAAAACTGCTTCTTCTGCAGTTGTTGGCAGGGCTTCCCTGGCTGTGATTCTTACAAAAACATAAGGAGTTAACAAAAAAAAAAAAAAAAAAAAAGGGAAAAACGAAAAAGAGAACCTCGAAATTTTCTCATTCAAAGCGAAAAACAGAAAGACAAGAAAAGGAGGACACCTGACTGCAGGAGAGACAAGTCTTTGACTCTTTGTCAAATATGCTCTCGATGCTGGCGCGTCATCAATGCCAAGCCTGCCACCACAGCCACCAATGACAACCAAAATTGCATGCAACTGTGGAAGCATGCTGAATAAATAGACCCACTAACGTACTTCACAGCATTCTTGCCCTCTGAGCACGACCCTGTCTCTTATACACATCTAGATGTGTATAAGAGAACACCTCTCATCCCTCCTTTCTCCTCAGTAAGCCTAGAAGATATTTCATGTTCAGTGCTTGTCCGTGCTACACTATCTTGCACAATAGTACAAAAGTTTAGACCCAGAGTGTGTTCTGAGATTTTTTTTGTGAATGGGGATCTACAGGAACAACAGGATCCTTGATGCAGGAAGCAAACCCAAGTAGAAAAAAGAAATGGTACGTCTCTCCAAGGCGTACAAGAAAGCGAGACTGTTGTCTTCAATCAAATCAAACACATTGCCACTTCAACTCCCATCTGATCCAGGCGAATCAGCTTCATTGCAATCAATAGTTTGGCAGAATAGCAAATGTAAGTGCCGCTGCCAGAACGTATTCCAGCAACACAACTGGCCAAGCACATGCTCTGCACATGGACATGAATGGCATGTTGATGCATGTGGACAGGGATCAGAAAACATCTTCACTTTTCTTGGCGCCAGGGAGGTTGTCCCGAATATTTACTACGGTGTTCTCCTTTGGAGGAGGGAGGTGATCAGCAAGCAATGGACGATGTGCAAGCACTGCACTCAAGAGGTATACGCGACCAGGTGCATGCAGTGGAACACTAGTAGACCATATGTAATACATAGCGTGGTTGTGCTTCTGACTACAAAAATGGAAAATTTAACCGAAATCTGACAGAGTAACGAAAGCAGACTGAATGCGCTTGACCTACACGGAAAGTGATGAATCAAAATTCAAAACTGCAAGCGAATACTAAAATACACCTGCAGACTCCATGCAAAATTAGAACCTCTCTCTCTCTCTCTCTCCCCTGGCAGTGCTGCACACAATGATACGAAAGGCTACCATTGTTCATCCCTACTTTTTTTTCTGGCCTGCTGAACACGATGCATGGTAGGAAGTGTCTTTTTTCTAACAGTCAGAAGACACTTCATTTAGTTTCTGTTCTCTTCCCTGCTTTTTCTATTTTGTTTACTTATCTTCATCCGTTGCCACCATCAGTCACCTCTCTAACACTTCAAGATCACCCCTGACAGGTTCTCAGAAGCGTCATCAGCGTTTCGCAATGTCAAGCTCCTCCTCACAGCGATCGACATCAATTTTGAAGGAATGCGGAGATGAATGAAATGGAAGGAAAATCTTCTTCCCTTTCCATGTTGCACTCTGAGATGCACTCTGAGATTTTCCTCATCCATAATACTTCTGTTGCTATCCTCATTCTTCCTCACAGTCTTTTCCTCTGTGAGAGAGAGAAAGAGAGAGAGAGAGAGAGAGAGAGAGAGAGAGAG